CCAAGGCAGCAGAAATAACAAAGGACAGGGGCGAGCCGAGGCTCCCCTTTCAGCAGCGGTGCTCACGGCTGGCTCAAAGCGACTGCGAAACCTCAGCCTGAGGAAGAGGGAGGTTGGCGCGGTTTAAGTCTAACCTCAGAGAGATGCAAGACTAGACGTAAATTCCAGAAGTTCAAAATCCCCACTGCTTTTCTAATCATTTGCATATCTGAGGAAGACACCCGACATTTTAAGACCAGCTACAGAACTAAGTGTGTTTATTTAGTATTTTGAATATAGAAACGACAACAAACTCCTATAGTTGCTGTTTGCAAGAATTCTGTCAGCAAGAAGAAAATACCAAAGGAAAAATTTCTTCACGCAAAGGGTTGTCAAGCGTTGGAACAGGCTGCCCAGGGAAGTGGTGGAGTGCCCATCCCTGGAGGTATTTAGAAGACGTGTAGATGTGGGGCTCAGGGACACGCTTTAGTGGTGGAGTTGGCAGTGCTTGGTTTGCGGTTGGACTTGATGATCTTAAAGGTCTTTTCCAACCTAAATGATTCTATGAAAAGAAACAATTTTAAATCACACAAAGCGTATCCCATGAAAATCTGGTAAAGGCAGCTGGCCTTTTCCTGGCAGATTTTAACCAAAGAAAGTGAAAGAAAGGATCAGCCAGGCTTGTTCCAGGACCAGCAAACACATTTCGTCATTTCCCCTGCCTGCTTCCAAGGGGGAAGGTGCATAGAGCCCACAAAGCAGCTCTATAGGTATACAGAGCCCCACCAAGCAGCTTCTGCACTTAAATAGGTGGAAGCAAAAGTAATACTTTATTTCGACGCTCATCTAATCATGACAAAAGCAAAAATTTTGAAGGTGTATGGTAAATTGCAAACCCACCATCCCCACCAGCATCCTCCCTACCACCAAACGTCAGCATCCCTTAATTAGAACATTCAATAGACAGAGATCTGCATCCTTCATGATTTTAGGCTTTTTTGGCTCCCTTGGCCACAAATATTGCCATTTTTTTCCTGAGAGACCGTGTCCTTTCTGCTTTAAAAAAAATATAGACAAATTCAAAAGTATTATATTAAACAACAGACCCAGCAGCAAGAAGGAATTCAATAAAAGAACGGTAGAGAAATAAAACTGACATGCTGCTTGTTATTAATACACTACCCCTACCATACATTTTAATAAATTATGCCATTAGCTACATACGCCTCATCAGTATCCTTGGAGATATTCAAAACCCAATTGGATAAGGCCCTGCGCAACCCGCTTTAGCTGGCCCTGCTCGGAGCTGGGAGGTTGGACTAGATCTCCAGAGGTCCCTGCCAACCTCAGCAAAGCTGTGACTCCAAGTTCTATTTTTTATTTTCTGACTATTTCCATTACAGAAAGTAGGGCTGCTCTCCCTGAAGGATTTCTCATTGTCCTCAAAGTGAGAGGCCATAAGGCAAATCTCCTACCATAAGGCAAGCGTCTCCCGGCTGTAATTGATGTGGTAAAGGCCTTTAAGCCCTAACCGTGCGACTTGGAGAATACAGACACAACGAAGCACGCAGTGTACGGATATTTTAAAAAGTGCACGGAGAACGTTCTTTAAATTTAATTATTTACACACTGCTTATTAGAAAAGGCCACGCTTACCTGCGGGCAGTAAGAACTTGTTTAAATAAGCAACCGCCTTCGGCTTCTAAAAGGTCTGCAAACTCCCAATCAAAAATTACTGCTGCCCCATCAATGTGTCATATAAATGTTGGCATGTTAATTGTGTATTTATAAGATTGTTAATGGTTAGTTAATTTACCTCCCACACTATTATTGTACTTGAAATGATTTAATGTCTGCTAAGGGAGTTAACAACATGTAACAGCAGATGCGAGAATTTTACCTTTATACTCTGCACCCCGACTTCATGCTATTAACAGTCCGTGTGCTAAATTACCCAAGCTTCTTTACAATTTTACATCTGCAATCACTCTCCCCATAAACACGAACAGTGAAAAATTGCCAGAAATTCTATTTCAGACTCTGAAGTTTAACACAAACACGTTTTTTCTTCCTCCTCTTCAAAAGGATACATTAAAACTAATTTCTCAATAAATTAATGTTAATTGGGAATTTAATGAACAGTTAACATCCCTCTTAAAAAAAAAAAAAATCAAGAAAAAAGTTCAGGCCCCAAAATTCAGTTCAGATTTTTATGCCATATTTTAATAGTTGCTATCTACACAATTCTAGCTGGTTCCTCCTTTTGTTAAAGGCAAAGCACAATTAGATGGCACAGGCCTGGTCTGAGGAACAACGACCTCCAGTGAAGTAAAAGAATTCAGAGAAGCAAAGTTCAGTTTTGCAAACCTTTACATGAAAACCTTTAAGCCTCCATGCCGTCAGCTTCAGCAAAATTGCCGATACAGGACGAATTTCTAGATGTACTGAGATTTGCCAGCACACCGCCTCTTCTGCCTGCCTTACACCCACACACGAATCGCACGTCCACATGTAGTAGCTGAATTTCACAGAATTCAGGGACTTTCTGAGCATCAGCAATTTATACATTCTTCAATCATAAACAAAAAATAAATGTCCTTTTAATACTTGCGCTGTATAAATATTATTCTACTATTAAATAAAATACTTTGCAGACAGCTGTCAAGCATACTCTATGCGAACACTAAAAATGAAAAGAGCAATGCGAAACCTATGCAACCCTAACAGTATTTATGTATGACATGATATACAGGTTAGTGTTACGATGATATACTACTTATTGACAAACACTTTCCATGATTCATCACGCAGGTGGACAGAGCTGAATCAGCCCTTCGCTTTCTTCTTCATCTTTATTATTCATCTGTCTTACTTCCCGCGTGTTATCTAATCAACGCCCCGGGCATGGATGCCCTCTCTCCCCGTCTCCTTGGCCTCACCCCGGTACTGCTGAAGTGCCCCGAAGACCATGGGGAGCACAGCCCCCGTTAGTCTTGTGCAGTTCTAGAACATCCTCGAAGATGTAAAACTGCACCATCATGAGGCTGAACGCCTTGCCAGGTTTCACAGGAACTTTGCAGCGAAATCAGACAGCTGGATCTCAGTCTACTATTTTTATCAGAAGTATTCCTCTTTCAGTAACCCACTGCTATATTTATGGCATCTATAGACTTTCACAGCAAGCGAAGCAAGGCTGTTATGCAGATCAACCTCATTCATAATACGGCATACAATAAGTAATGCGGAACGTTCTAACAAATTACTCAGCTCCCAGTAGGTGACGCAAAGGTCTTGAAAAGAGGATATGTACTTATACAGGCTATGCCTTAAACACACATCTGCATTTGGGAAGGCAACTCCACAAATGTATTAAGAGTTCTTGTGACCCTCCTGCTTGCCTGATATACTGTATGTATTTAAAGGAAAGGAAGATTTTTCTCACTTTCCTCTTTCCCCACCAAAACCCCTATACATACCCCAAACACCAGTCTGATTTATAGTCACGCCTTATCCTACATCAGGTGTCAATGAGATATCAAAGCAAGCGTGAGATAAGGGGAAAGGACAAGCTAAACACACACCTCTTAGGACTGCCGTCCTCCCCATCCATCCTCCCAACCCACCACCTATCAGCACAGACAACAGCAGACACAGCTGGAAGCGTCGTCTTGCTGCTCCGGTGCTGGACCACGCTGACTTGCGGGACTGCAACCACGTGTCGACCTGTTCTTACTGCTATTTTCAGAGGAACATGACCTTGACTGAAAAACGCTGAGCGCAGACTACCTTACTTTTGGGAAAACAGTTATTTTGGACTGAATTTTCTGGTTTGTTTTAAATACGCACAGTTGAATTTGACAA